TGCTGTCTGCAATTAAAACAGTTCAAAATGAGCAAGTAGAGGCACCTAATTAATGCCAGGACAAGGGTAACCGCCTTGGAATATGCTCTCAAATGTTCATTAGAATCGGAGCATAAGGCGATAGTCGCTGAGAAAAAGAAAAAATGAAAACTTGAATCGACATCACCTTCTGTAAAATGGTCCTAAACTATGATCGAGGCCGATTTGTCACAAGCCGAGCTTAGTCGATCACGAACCTGATCAGTCTAAATTTATCGTCAAGACAAATGGCAGTTTAGGACATACTCTAAGAAACTGAAAATGTCTTTCAACAGCCGCCATAAAGCAAATCGATAGAGTAATCTACCAGATGCGGCTACTTTAAGATCTTACCCAGAAGGATGACACATCCTTTTATCGGCGGAACTTATAACAGTACAGATATCACAGGTTGGTATTCTTGCGTGATCAACAGTATCTGTATTTCTTGTTTCATGTTACTCTGAGTGAAGAATAGGTTCAGTTAAAAACGCTTGCCAAATCAGTCGGAAAACTTCTGATTTAAAAAAAATAAAGCATAACATGGAGTGCTATCACTGAAGATGAAATGCATCACTGTCGAACTGGAACTCAACCTGAACTTGTAACATGAAAATATCCGCACCATTCCTAATTTGTTGACAGTTTCAAAATGCTTTTATCCGGAAGTCTAATTCTAACAGCTTCTAACAATTTGTGCGCTTGAAACTGCGAAAGGGCCTGATCATATGCTTTGGCCATGTTTAGATTATTTGAAGAATTTTCACGTATGGCGCATCTCAATTTCTCTTTCCTTGCAACCCCTTCGCGTCTGTCAAATATTGCACATTACCAACTCTCACGGAAGCTTCTAGTTTTTCTTGTTCATCAACGGTGTTAGAGTGGAACTTTGAGAAGTTGCCAAATAACAGTAAACAATAAATTAATAATAACACAGATCTTACCGCCGCATAATGTTGCAGTACAAAGGCAGCTGAATCATACGAAAACACACCGCAAATGATCAGCTTGCACAAACCAGCCAAAATCTTGCGGTTTATATGTAACCTTTCGAGGGCCTGTTCATCGTCTGTGTCGTGACGCTGTTCTATTTCGAAGAATTAGTAATTAAACAACTCTCAAGTGCAATAAAACCTTGAGCATCGCAAGCGAACGCAGTGCGACGGACAAATTCTTCTAGGAGGTCTTGCAGATCATTAATAGCTATGTGAATGGCAGGCATCATGTCAGATAGAAAATCATGTACCGCCATTCCGAACACCAAAAGCAGATCGGTAATGCACAAAAAAGCCTATAAAATCTAGTTCAAACGAGTTAAATAAGCAAAACGAAAGGCTTCAATTTGTCATATATGATATGTATATTTCATTTTCCTTCACACATTTTATATGCTGCACATTTGTGACATTTTTTAATTATGTGATACAGTAAGAGATTGAAATGGACGACGACAAACAGAAAATTCTACTGTAACTCCCAGTACACAGGAACTACTTGATACATTATCAATGAAATAACTCGCATCCATACGGCCCATAACCTGTTTCATAATCAATTTAGCACACGGGTCTAACGAACTTAATCAGGACAAAAGGTAAGGAGCGAACATGAAATGATGATGGTGACAAAGGAAACGTCCTGAATCAATTGAATTCCCAAACGAAGTATGATTCACAAAAATTAAAGGGCAAAAGCAATGAGAAATAGTTCAAGGATGCAACATTTCCTGGCAGAGATATAAACGGAGAAGCTGTAAAAAACAATGAACACGAGTAAAAATAAGATAACGCAAAAAATAAAGCTGAACAACAAACATGTAAAACATGTCTAATGATTTCGTTATCATGGCGAAACGCAAAACAGCAACATGTCTCAGCTAAAGACAAACCTAATTAGCTGCAACAACGGCTCCAAGGTAGAATCAGCTTCCAATCTACAGCAGAAGCGACATCTACGTCAATACTACATTCGATTGTTAACCGTACTTAAGAAGTCATTCTGAATTTACAAATTTGTCCAGTGACGTTTACGATAACAAAAAACAAAAACCTGCAAGTGATGGAAATAAAACTGCATTCTTCTGCGGAATTTATCACCTTAACTAAACGAGGATTTCAAATTATCTCTGAAATTCTTCTGACATTTTCTTCGAGTAATTTTGATCCGCGACCCGAAAGGAGAAGCGGCGATGGAAGATGAAGATGAATTCTGATTCAACATTTCACTTTAAATATATTAAATACATATAAAATCCATTAATTTTAAAGAAAAATGATTTATAAGCTATACCATATATCTTTCCAGTCACCCGTACCTTATTATGATCTCTAACATAAATTTTCACGAAGTTTATGGCAAGAAAAGGAAGAAAAATTTTTAAAAACTCGTATGCCGGCCTCCATTACACTTTCGTGATAGAACATCATTTGTTCAAACGCATCTTTATTTTTTATGAAGTCTAGGTTGTGTTGCTAAACTCCGTTTCCGTTACATCAGCCAGAAGTGCCTAACAGTTCCACTTTAAGATCTTATCTTTCGCCTGATAACCAATGCAGCTTGTAGGTTTCTATTTCATTGCCACCAAGTGTTACTCATTTATCAGTCTCGAATGGAAGAAAAGAAATTGAACTTATCACTGCTCAAACCCGAGACTTCTCAGCTCTTAGTCGATACCCTAATGATGAGCAGCCCCGGTTCTACTGCAGTTCAATGCACGGCAACGCGCAGCGATGTCAGACTTCTGTAAGGCAACGTGTACAGTTTGGTGGCCACGGAAACATACTTTTCCACTTCTCTCCTCACCTGAAATCGAACCCGCTATCATTCGATTACGAAATCGATATTCTATCGACTAAGCTCCCTGAACTCTAAACATTAGTAGCCAAACAGTTTACTAGCGTTAGACGCACTAGTGACGAAGCCTGTAATAAAAGCACACCAAGTAAAGGCCATCCATCTGGTACTAAATGCTTTATTGTTTTAATTGTAATCCTGTTGTTTCAGCTTATTTGCAGATGGACAGCCGACTGCCCCACATTGTCTGACTAATAGATCTTCAACACAATCAGTCAAAGGTAACTCTTTAAGATCAGTATACTCCTGTTTATTTGAAGAGCAATGTTGTCAAATTCATAGGATTACCACCAACGCTAATATAATCGATCGTAACAGAAGCACCCGTTTAGGCAAGTTTTAAAACCAGTCTACGAACACAAGTTTTGAATTACAGACACATTATGGATGGGTGCAGTGGCTGTCAATGCTGAGTATCATCATCGTCGGCTGTGACCCAGAAAAAACCGAAATATTGCTTTATATTGACTTTCCAAGGCATTGAGGCTATCACTGAAAGTGAAAGTGCTGATTTTATTAAATTGTGAGCGCATAGCAGCAACTGTGCATCATTCATCGGCTAATATCATAAATAAGTATCATAGTATCGGTTAGCATCAAAATAAAAAAATTTTACGTATTTCAAACATAAACATACAATTCCTGAAATTCTAATCTAAGTGTTCCGCCTAACTGTGAATATGCATAAAATATGATTCTATTAAGCCGGTCACTTCATAACTAAATTAGTTCACAAGGTCAACGCATAAACAGAAATTTATTACAGTTCCGTATCAATCATGGTTTTGTAAACTGTCAATAATAATTTGTGCTTCCTTCTTTATTTTTCCTTATTAAATTTAGTCTATGTATTTTAATCACGCTAGCATATTATTACAAAGTATATAAACAGAA